CTCCACAGTGGGACCATTTGTCATGGACTTGTAGCCCAGGACTTGGCCACATGAAAGAAACCGCAAACGGTGCGGCTGTATCACTACATTGATGATGATATGCTCACGTCTGATTCTCTTGCACTTCCTCTTCTTCTGTAGCTGGGTCAAGAGAGATGCAGGATGACTGCTTGTAAGAAATAAATGGGTTTCTTCCATTTTATTTCTCCCTCTGACTGATTTCAGTGTCAAAGGTATTTTGCGCTGGGATTTTCCCCCAGTTACAAGGCCCAATCTTGTGACTTAGGGAGAAGAATAGAGACCTTCTCTCCTCTTTGCCTTACCCACAGCCAAACCCTTCATCTCCTTATTTCTGTCATTGATGTCTCCATTCTTCTTGGCTAGGCCTCCAGCTTTGAAACTGCTCTTTGTTCTTCCTCTGTACTTTGTGGATTGCCCATATTATTGGTTCCTTTGCTTACTGCTTATTTGGCTTCATCTCTTTCTCTCCTGCTTCTACCAGCTTAGTGCATTCATCACTCTGAGCTTGGGATATTACAGTGACCTCTTATTCTGTAATACCCCTAACTAGTCTAACACCAACTGGACATACTACAATACAATCATTGTACTGATCACCTGGAGTTAGTATTGGATCCCACAAGATAAGGACTCAGTTTACCACAAGACTGCCCTCATTTTGAGACAGGGACCGTGGATGTAGTCAGAGTAAGATGAGGGCCTCTGGAAAACGCAAAGCAGGATATTTGCAGTCAGAGCAATGTAACTACATGCAAGGGAACTCCCTATCAAAACTCTGTGTTAAACATTAAGCTCTAAGTCATTCTTCGGTGAGATCAGTTAATATTCCCCAGATAAAGAAGAGTAGCACACGTTTTTATTATGCCAATCATTTGTAAGCATGCTAAAGGCCCAGGCCTATGTGCTGTCTTTCCTCCTTCAGATCTGATGAGGTGATTTTGCAAACTGGGTAACTAATTTAGCAAAGCAACATAAGTAAAAGGCAGGAAGGATTCCACCTTAAAGATAAGATTGCATTTTAATACCCAGAAAGTTTAAGAAGTCAGATTCTTAACTTACTCTTTAGCAAACAATACCTCAGCCCACTTTAGGGGCCTGGCACACGGCCTTGTTTGATATGCTCCCAGACCAAGACGTTGGTATTTCAGGGAGATATTTGTTTTAAGTTAATTCTAAATATTCAGAGACCAATTAACAAGTCCACACCCCTAAGCCTTTATCCAGCACCCAAAAATCCTCAACTGCCTATAAAACCCCTAGACAACGCACCACTACGGGCTCTCTTGTCCCCTCCTGGCATGAGCCAGGAGTTCTGTCCTCTCACTTTATCTCTAAATAAAAGCCTCTCCCTGGCTCTCATACCTTGATTGTTTTCTAAGTTCATTCTTTGACTCTGCAAACAAGAACCCCGGCATCAATTTTAGGTGCTAGCCATGTATCTCACAGATCCCCAGACCACCCACATTTCTGGCCAACTGGCAATACATTTAGAGGTTCTTGCAATCCCCACTGGTTCAGTAATTCACTGCACCAACTCAGAATTCAGGGAAGTGCTATACTAATGACTACTATTTCATTGTAAGGATACAAAAGTCAGATGTAGAATAGTCTTAGAAGCAGAATTTCCATGCCTTTTCCCCTGAGGAGTTAGGGCATGCCACCCTCCTGGCACATCAATGCATTCACCAAAAAGCTTCCCTGAGCCTGTGTCCAGAATCTTTATTGGGTCTTTATTGGGTTGATATCAAGCAACCCAAGAGCTCCAACCCCCTAATCACATGGTTGGTCTTTCTGGTGTGGCCTACCCACTTCCTAATTCTTTCCTTTGCATAAGCTCTCCAGTCATCTTTGTTGGTATAAACTATCAAGGGCCACCTACCAAAGAACTACCACTTGGAAAAGGATTTAGAGTTTCCTTCTTAGGAACCAGTGACAAAGGCCAGTCAAGTTCTTTCTTGCAAATCTTTTAAATGGTCTTAATTGGTAAATAACCTCCTGTCTCTGAAGCAACACCCATTCCAAAAATATCTATGGGCCAGGCCTAGTGTAGCTCAGTAGGAAGCTAATGGTGAAAGACAGATATGGTCCTTGCCCTCCTGGTACTTAGAATCTGCTGGGGATTAGAGCACTATAATATAGTGGGGTGCTTGCAGTGGGGATAGGACAGCCAAAGCCACAGGAACACTCTCGGAGGAGCAGTTAACCCTGATAATGAGCTATCCAGGGAAGAGGAGGAAAAGAAAGATCCAGGCAGAGGGCATAAGCGCAAAATGCCCAGAGGCATGAAAAAGGTTGACTCAAGTAAGGGGCTGAGGGAAGTTCAAAATGCCTCCTACAGAGTATGAGCATGAGAATGGTGAGACAGGAGACTGGAAAATTCTATGGAGGGTTCTGGATGACAGCTATAGAATTATCCCAAATACTAGGACACACTGGTCTTCCTCAAGCATTGTCTTTATGATATCAGGCCTGTATTTAGAAATGGACTATGGCTACCACTGATTTCCACAGGACCCTGGGCATCTCTCCACGGCAGTTTCCTCAGCTGTGAAGTGGGGGCGTGAATGTCGATTGTATTCAGGATGTGAACCATACACCCTAGCTCTTCTGGTTCAGGCCAGGGCCTTAGAAAGCAGCACTGATTTTCACGTTTTGGGGGCCTCCCCAGAGACTAATGCATGGCTAGAGCACATTCTTCATAGCTGGGTTTCTTAAGCTCTGGTCAATCAACTTGGATGGTAAGAAATTATGTTTATTTTCAATGACCTCTTAACTAAAAATTAGCATTTCCTTTAATTGTGACGGTAGATTACAAAGCACGAGGTATTAGCAGTACCTGACTTTGTTACAATAGCAATCACAGATATTCTCACTTAAGTTCAGAGTTGTTGCAGATCTTTATTTTATTTTTATTGAAGTACCGTTAATATTCATTCTTATATTGGTTTCAAACAGATCTTTTAAACTATAATTTATGTGCATCACTTATTTGGTATTAACTTACTAGACTCACTGCTAGATGATGTTAATGTGATTAACAAAGAAACATTTTTACTATATCAAAAATCTGAGTGTTTAACTTTGATAACTATTTATCTATTTACATTTTCTTTGTGTTCATATATATTACTAATGTAAAAGAGTAGGGGTTCCATCAAACTGCCAAGGGGTGTGTGGTAGAAAAATGATTAAAAACCCCGGCTTAACAGAAATATATGTTGGCCAACTCTTCCCAGAGGATGCTTGACTTTGGGTGTTGAGTCATTTCTCTGGTCTAAGTCCATCACTTCCACCTCCAGGTGCCTCCAGAGGTGAGGGGAAGAGGGGTTCCTGGACACCTGTCCCTAAAGCAAATACCTACACCAACTGCATGCAGGGCATTGCATAAGAGAATGTCTCATGGGTATACTATCAATTGCAGGCCTATTTCAACCAGTGAGCTGACAGCTAGACATACCGTCAGAGCCTCTTGAGAAAGGTAGCTATGAGCCATCTTGGACTAGTGAGATTTGTCCTATAATACCTATCATCCTAGCCACAGCTAGCTGGACCAAGGATCTCAAGAACACGTCTGGCTAGTGGCCTGGGAAGTGGCAGGTAGAGAGCTTGCCAAATGGGTACTTTCAGATTGAATGGCAATTTGTTGACTTAATTAGATTCTGTCTCTTGGGGAGTTGGAATTTGAACACACAGGGGAGTCAGCTATTGGGAGGGCCAGAAGTGACAGCCATAAAGAGAAGTGAAAGGTAAGAGAGAGGGAAGTAGAGTCAAGAGTGGGAATTTGCCAAGTTAGGGTAGCCTTTCACCCCACTCTCCCAGAGGTCTGGCCCTGTGTCTTGTCACTTGCCCTGCTTCCTGCCACCTAGAAAAGTTTATCTAATCCATGCCACAAGAGCTCAAGAATTGGGGAGGGCCAGCCTACACAAGGCTGAAACCCAAAATGAGGAAGTTGGGGGGCTTCCTCGTCTCCCTAATCTAGTGTGACTTCCTCCCGGTCCATGAATAGGCCCCCACCCTTTTTGTCCTGTGCCAGTGCCCTGTTAACTTCTGTGTCCTTGCAGGTCCCTTTCCAACGGTTTCCTATTTGCTTGGCTGCTCACAAAGCAGCCAGAACCAGTATTGACCCTGCTTGGGAGGGGATACAGATGGCTTACTAGCAGAAATGGGGAAGGAGGAATAGAGAGGTCGTCTCCAACCTTGTTTCCCCATGTCCAGACTCCCTCTAAGGTCTGTAATACTTTTCCCTCTTCTCTAGAATTCCTCATGGACCAAACCTAGTCCAGAAACAGAAAACAGATTCAGATTTTTGTCCGGAAACGATTCAGATTCATCTACATCCATACCTCCTTTAATCCTAACAACATTTTAGAGATGAGGAAATAAAGCTGAGAGAAGTCTAATGCTAGCAGTCTGAAGTGGGTCCAGGTCCTTTAGTGTGCTCTAGAAAAACCCTGAAGGCGGCCACCTCTCCGCCTCACAGCTCCCTGCTACCCATTCTTTACTGCACCTTTGCCAAGTGGGTATACTTGCAGTTCCCACTCCCCTAACTCTAACTGCATGCCTTTTCATCTTTAAGTCTTTGCTCCTGATGTTCCCCTGGCTAAAATAGCCCTAATGCCCTGGTGATTTCTGAGTCAACCTTCAAGACTCAAAGTGTATTGCACTGTTCTTTATATGACCCTGGTAAGGCAGGGGCTGTGTCCTAATTACCTTTTTATCTCCAGCACTTAATATAGGGCCCAGCAAGGTAAAGGATCAAAAAGTATGTATCTGCCCTGGCCTTAGTGTCACAAAATTATTAGGGTCCCAGAGGTATGGTCAGCACTTGGAACACCATGGGACGGCCTTAGGATAAGAATCCTCTTGCTTAGTTCTTGGCTGGAAAGTTGGTGACAATAGGTGACATCTAGAACCCCTATGGCACGGGTGATATCTTGGGTTCCATAATTCACACTTTTGGGCTTACTCAATTACTCAACAGCACATAACCGGTCTGTTATGCTCTAAACACCCTGCCAGGTGCTGTGGATCACAGATGATTGGAGGGAATTAGCTGAGAGGATATAATTGAGCCGAAATTTAGAAGAGAAACAATAGGGGGGTTAATACGTATTTTCATCCAGGTGTGGGTAGGGGGGCAGCCACCCTCCCCACCTCCTGGAGCGTTCTCAAAATTTGAAAGGGATTAGCTATATAATCCTCAAGTTGGATCTCCCCTTCGCGGGAGGCCAGAACGCTAACCCAGCCCCACACCTGGCCCCATTGTTCTCCTAATTCCCCCGCATCCGATCCGGATGCGGAATGAGCGGTTCGGTTCGCAGTTCATTCAAGGTCAAGAGACGTGGGGGAGGGAGCTGGGAGACCCTGAAACTATTCTCCCCAGACTCAAGAAACCCCACCTGGACATGGGTCCCTTGGATGAGCAGACTCCTAAGGCCATTCTTAGGAGGTGCGGAGTCCAGGTCCCTTAGTGTGCTCTAGAAAAACTTTTAAAAGGAGACTGGCCGGTGCGCCTTGAGACTAACAAAGCTTCACAAATCCTAGACTGCAGTCTTAGCTGATAGCAACCCCACCCCCGCGGTCCCGCCCCCGCACCCTCGGGGAAAAGTGGCTTCCGGGAGCAACCCTGCTGGGCACCGCCCCCAGGACGCGGGTGCCGATTGGCCAGCGCGATCGCAGGGCGAGGCCAAATCTTACAGAGTCGGAAGCTAAGGAACTCCTAAGGTGGCTGTGGCTGCAGCTGCAGCGAAATGCAGGGAGGTGATGCGCGGTGGTCCATGTAGGTCTTTAAAATATATCTCAAATGTCCATACCCTAGTCTGAGGCCCATGGAGCCCACGCAGCACTATCCACTGTTCGGGGGCGCCTTCTCCGCCACTCTCCCGCCCGGGGCCATTGACGTAAGGTGAGACCGCGCAAGCGCTGAAGGAGACAACCGAGTGGGAAACGGGAAGCCGGGGTCAATCAGGGTCTGCTTCGCCTCTCCCCAGCGACCTCCGACAGGTCCCGGACAATCAAGAAGCTTTCTGCCATCGTGAGACAGATCAGAGCCTGATCGTAGAACTTCTGGAACTGCAGGCCCACGTGCAGGGCGAAGCGGCTGCGCGGTGAGGAAGGCGGGTCCGCAGCTTTCCAATGGGAGGGCCGGAGCTAAGCGGGTGGGGCCTGTGGCTGGACGGTTAATCAGGGCAACGAGAACAAAGGCAACAACCACGTCACCGTATTATGGGAAGTGAGCAAAGCTTAGGACTTAAAGATCCTTGGGTCGGGGCGTGACAGACGCTCCTTCATGACCCTTCTACTGCACTCCAGGTACCACTTTGAGGACGTTGGCGGGGTGCAGGAGGCTAGAGCTGTGCAAGTGGAGGCTGTGCAGCCCCTCCATCTGGAGAACCTGGCCCTGAGGGGCTGCTGTGAAGAAGCCTGGGTCCTCTCTGGCAAGCAGCAGATAGCTAAAGAAAACCAGCAAGTGAGGGCCTGGGGGATGTGCGATATCCTGGAGGGGTCAAGGGGGTGGCCCTAAGGCATGAGGTAAGCATACTGACTCTGACCCCTTAGATAGCAAAGGAAGTGACACTACACCAGGCCTTGCTGCGGCTTCCCCAGTACCAGACTGATCTCCTGCTCACCTTCAATCAGCCCCTGTAAGGACAAAAAGGGCGTGTGGCTCATGACTGGGTCCCCAGGAGAATCTGCTGGGAGGGGCAGAGCAGGGAGACTGGCTGATGGGGTCCAAGGAAGCAGGAGTGGGCGAGAGGTTTGGGGTCACAGATACCCAGGTCCTGTGGTAGAGGGTGGTAGTGGGAACTTCCAGACCTGAGACCTGGATAACATTCTCTCTCCATCTCTTCCCCCAACTCAAGTCCTGACAATAGGCCATGTTTTGGCCCTGAAAATCTGTCACTTCCACCCTGGAGCCTGAGTGACTTTGAGCAGCTGGTGACCAGTCTGACCCTTCATGATCCCAACATCTTTGGTCCCCAGTAAAGACGCTGATATGCTGCATGTTGCTGCTGAAGACTTGGGACCATGTTCTGCAAGGGGAGCCAGGGGTTGGGTACATTCCCCTAATTCCTTCCCTGTGCATAGACGTAAGATACCTCCTCTCTGCAGAAATAAACTTGGTTTATAACAGGTATAATCTCTGTGCCTTTGAATCTAACAGGACACCTGGGTCCCCCCCCAATTCCCTTTGGTCTTGGAGTAGGGAGTTTAAAGTTGTGCATGGGATCAGAAGGGACCCAAGGCCTGCAGCAGAGAAAAGGAGGAAACATCCTTTGGAGTGACTGGTTCAGCCCTGAGAGAGGAATGTGAAATGTAGTGGGATGGGTAGGGAAGGTTTAAATGACACTCAAGGAAGGTGGAAAAACTCTCTTGCAGTGATTCAACCCTGAGAAAACAGATGGGGAGTGGGGTTGGCTTCCCCCTTGGATGGATGAAAGATCATCTGGTCAGGCGTCACCAGGGCATGGTAATGGAGGCAGAAGTGTCCAAGGAGTGCCGATTTGGAGGAATGTGGAAGAGTGGCTGCTGTTATTTGGTGTAAGTGTGGTAGAGGGTGCGCAGCTGGTCCCAGAAGAAGAGGGAAAGGATGGTGTGGGGACCTAGGCGGAAGTAGGAGGCACCTATACCCTTGTACATGCCAAAAATGCCCTCTGTCCGAGCAGTCTGCAGCAGAGCATCCAGCATCCCCCGGTACATGAGGCCCTGGGAGCAGGTCAGAGAGGGAGTGAGAGCACAGGGAAGGAGTGTCAGAGCCCACCAGGGGCCTTGCCTCAGCTGCATTTTAGGCTGTCCCACCCCACACCCACAATCTGCTTCCCCCACCTCCATTTTTCCCTGGCTGCCCACACCCCAGAGCACTCCCTTACCTTGCCCTGAGTATCTGTGGGCTGGTTGTACAGCCTTGTGCTGACCACATCGAAGGGCGTCATGGCCAGGACCACCGCAATGCCACTCACCATGGAGGCTGCCAGAGCCACTTTCCAGCTCTGGGGAGGAAATAGCTAGGTGGGAATGCAAAGAGCTTTGTCAGTCAGACAGTCATTCAACCCCTAGGAAAGGAAAGGCCTGGCACTGGGGTCGCAGTAGAGAGCTGCTAACTTAGGGAGCTTCCACTGCACTGGTTACAACATAGTGTGGTAACATTGCAAAGGAGGATGGACAGGATGCCCTGAGGACTCATGTACACCTTCTGGGAGGAAATGACAAGAGCACTGTGGGAAGAGTGTAAAGAGTCAGTGACTCCAAGCCCTCCTGCCACTCTGTCACATTGAATGTTGGTGCTGTCCCCTCTAGGGCCCCCTTCAGCTTGCCCTCCCTCTGCCCACATTCCCAGGATGGCCCCACCCCTTTCCCTGGAAGTACCTCCCACTGGGTCATGAGGTCCTTGGTGGATGAGAAGGTGCACAGCTGGGTGGAGGAACCGATGATAACTCGGGGCAGGCCGCCCATGGCCCCACGCCACAACCCCACCAGACCATGTTTCTGGCCAATCTTGGTTAGTGCCTGAAACATGCCCTGGTAGGGGAAGACCATGGGGGTGGGGTTTAGTCACCCCAGCATTAGGGGCTGCCACCTCCTAACATTGCTAAGGATAGGTCCTTCTGTAGAAGAATGTCTAGACAACCAGTTCCATGTGGGCTTAGAGCTGGAATATGGCCCCTCAGTTGTCTGTCACCTCATTGTTCCCATGCTCACCACCCCAGAATAAGGGCAGGGTGTGAGGACATTAGCAGTTCAGGAAAATGGGACAGGAAAATCAGGAGCAGAAGGAACTGGGGAACATGTGGGAAGGAGTGTCTGCGTGGACTCCAGGGGAAGAGTGAGGCTGAGTTGATGGGCTGGGCAGAGCCGTGGCTGGGTTGCAGTTGTTGGATGCAGGCAGAAAGTTGGGGGGATATGGGGCAGAATGGATAGGGACTCCAGTGCAATAGGCAAACCCTCACCTGATGCTTATACTGGTGCCCTACGGCAATTTCTGAGGCTGCCTGTGCCTGTAGGTGTGTCTTCACCTGGGGACAAGAGAGTATCACAATCTATGGCCCAGTGGCCATCCTCCCACCTCAGAAACCCACATGCCTGAATGCTTCACACTTTCTCTAGGGTGTTGAGCAATGAATATCCTTGTAATCTAATAATTATTGTTGTTCCCATTTCACAAAGCGGTCATGAGACTCTGTGTCCCTTGGCTCCAGTCCCTGGGGATTGGATCTTCTAGCACTAGCACTGCAAGACACCCTACCCTCTCTATATCCTCCTTTTTTGGGGGTAGGAGTGGGAAGTGGAAAGGATGGAGAATGGTAACATTTCCTAAGACTGCTCATGTTAGGCAAAACGTGGGTGTCCAGCCTTTCATGCCAGCTCTTATTCCTAGACCTGATCTCTAGCCACCACCCCGACCTGGGTCCCCATCAAACTCTAAGGCTGGTTGTGAGGGGTCATCTGCAAAACTTGCTTCCTGGCTCCCAAGCCTCATGGGGGCATGTGTCCAGCTGACTTTGAAGAAGTCACTGTTCTTGAATCTCATACTATGTCAGTGAGAGCAGATGTCCTCTTCTTCTACATAACTTGCTGCCTCCCAGTATCCTTCCAGGAAGAGCACTAGGTAAGGTCTAGTTCTGGCAATAAGCAGCTATGTGACCTTGCGCTGGTTACTTCCCCTCTCTGGGCCTCAAGCTACCAACCCTTCACCTATACCAGATAAATCAAAGGGGCAGACTGAGATTGTAATTCTCTGAAGCCCAGGACTTCCCCTGATCGCTACATTCACTCATGTGTGTTACTCAAATTCCTCATCCTCACCTATACAAACCACTTCCAACCTCAGTATTAGGTTGAGAAGGCCCACGCCCCCACCCTACACCAAGGGTCCGCCTGAAAGACCCAGGTAAGACCCTTCTTCTCACCATGTAGATGGGGCTCCCCAAGTAGGCTCCCATGACCCCAGCCAGGGCTCCAGCTGCTGCGCTGCGGGCAGGGCTGAGGGAGCCGTCATCGGAGTGCAGGTAGCCACCGGCCTCAGCCAGCCCGTAGGTTCCCAACCGGATGCCATTCATCAGGAACTGGTATAAGAGGGCGGGACCCAGGCCCTTTTGCAGGGCAGCCAGGCCATCCACCCTGCCGATGGTGATGAAGGCATGGAAGACGTTTCGGTAGTGCCGCTGGTAGGTGCCGGGGGCCTGCAGTTCTCCCTGCAACTGCATCCTGGTCTTCACCACCTCCAGGGGGTTGGTGAACAAACAGGCCCCACAGGCTGCCAGGCCACTCATCAAGAAGTCCATGGTGGGGTAGCAGAAGCAAGAACGGGTCCAGGAGTAAGGAATTAAAATGAGCTTCAGAAATAGGGTCAGAAATCGGGGGAAGATCTCAATTTCAGCAGTCCATGTTATAGAAAGTAGGAATTCAGAGGTCTGGCTCCAAGAGTGTCAGGGCCAAATGTCAAAAGGTCAAGTCTTAGCTGGAATTTGGGCGTCAGGAGCTGGCAAAGAGAAGAAAGAGGATTTTAAAAGAGTCTGGCGAGAAGTTATGACAGGGTCCTGTTGGCCAAGAGATTTGAGGTCAAGGAGGGGCAGAAGCCAGGAGGACAGCCGGAGGGAAGCTGAGATGCTAAGGATGGATGGCCAGCTACGGGGCCCAAAAAGGAGGGAAACCCGGAGTACGGAGATGGGAACCGAGAGGGAAGGAAAAATAAAACCAGCAGATTAAGGAGTAAAAGGATCCAGGGGCGTCCCCGGAGCAGCAACAAGTCTGGATCTGGGAAGGAAGTCGTAACTCCGACTAGGCAGAAGCGTTCCCCGGCAGCTGCCGGAGCCCACTGCAGCTTCGCTCCGGGTAACCAGTGAAGGCGGGGCCTCCACAAGCCGGTCGCTGGAGCGCAGCATCCAATCGGGCGCCTTGGAGAAGTGTAGCTGAGAGCATCAGCCATTCAGCGTCGAACCTGCGCCCGGCCAATGGGAGGTGCTCTCAGCGACCCAGCCCCCTGAATCCTCTGAAAGGCGGGTGCAATTAACTCTACCGGCCCGGCGCCACGCCATGGAATGCAGACTCGGATCTCTGGGAGGGGTGTCCCGGGAACCGAGTCTTTATCACTGACGGGGAGGAGAGGTCGGACACTGGGTTACTGGACCGGCGCAGAGGTCAAGAGCGGAGGAAGCAGTTCCCCAATGGGGTGTTTGGAGCTGCCTTTCTCCTGGGCGAAGGGCGCCCGTCCCTACGCCTTCTATCCTGGGTCTCTGCAGGCTCGGGAAGCGGTAAACTAGATACATGCCCTACTGGGTTCAGGCGTCAGGGGAGTCCAGAAGTTGGGCTCTGCCTACAGGAGCAGACGGGATACACCTGCTAGACCTAATAAATATCCTGAGGCTGAGTAAAATATTTGTAGGTTCTAGCACTGGGATGTGGCTGGCTGTGGGCGCAGAGGGAGGGGATCCTGAAGAATGGCAAGGGAGGAAGTCACATCCTACGCTCTTTTGATCCTCACAGCAACCCGGAGGAGAAGGCTGGGCTAAGACCGGAATTTTGATCCCTGGGCTTAGGGTTACACTGGGCCAGCGAGTGGTGGAAGACGTCCTGAGATTCTGGATCCTAGCTCATGAGTCTGGTAATAGTCACAGAACTTCTGAGAAAAGCGATGGAGGAAGTTGGAAAAGGGTTGAGGGAGAAGGCTTGGAGAAAGAGTCAGGGGAATAGGAATGCCATTTGGGTGAGAAGTGGAGACCGAGGGCTCACCTGTGCGTGAGGCAGCCACCAGATGGTAAAGTTAGTGCACATTTTGAGTTCCAGTTTGGGTCTTCCCGCATACCAGCTGGATGGCCTTGGGCAAGTTACTTAACATCTCTGAGCCTCTTTTGTAAAATGGGAATGAAGATTATGTATTGCATATACCTGAATGAAAGTGTTGATCTTGTACTTGGTGCTCAATTATCAGGTTTCCCGGGAAAGTCAATAGCTGTCAGACCCCTGTGCTCTTTTGTATCCTGTTTCCATTGCTAGGATTTTCCTTGCTCCTTCTCTTGGTGATCACCCAAATCATTCTTCACCTTGAGCTTCATTCCTCCTGACACTAGAAGCTTTTCCAAATTCAGTCACTTTTGTCCTGCTTTGTCCCTCAGATATTGATCTACCTTTCTCATTAGACTGGCAATTATTTATTTTCTGACTCCTTCACTACACTGTGAGTTTTATGGATGCCCTGGGCCTGGGTCAGCATCATCTCTTTCTCACCAGTGTGCTACTGAGTCTCTGAGCTTTGGCCTGAAGCAGGAGGAGTGTAAGGTAAAGTAGAGCAGATAATGGGGCTTCTCAGAAGGGGCTCTGAAAGGGTCTTCTGAAAATTTCAAGGAATGCTCCTCAAATCTCTCCACCTGCCAGATGGGATGAGAGTTTGTCATTATTTTAATCCTTGAGTTTACACCAGTGGTTCTCAAAGTGTGTTCTCTGGACCAACAGCAGCCCCATTGGATTTGTTGGAAATGCACATTCTCTAGTCTTGCCCTAGATCTGTGCTAAAAATTTTGGAGGTGGGGCCTGACAATCTGAACAAGCCCCCTAGGTTATTCTGATGTGTGCTAAAAGTTTTAGAACCAAACTGGCTTAAGCCTTTTATCTTTAATATCCAGATATCCTAGAGAGACAACTTTTAAAGTGTTAGTTTTTTTAAAAAAGCTTAATTTTAGCACAGTTTTAGATTTACAGGAAAATTGTAACACTACTAAGAGAATTCCTATTATCTATTGCATATACCCACATCTGGTTTCCCTTTTTAATATCTTACACAAATATAGTAAATGGTTAATGTTAGGCAGAAAAATAGATATGAGTGGGGTGGAAAGAGAATAAGGCCAGGAAAGCCCACTAAAAAAGACCCTGAGTTAATCAGTTAAAGCCCAAATAGCCAGAAGTAACTCGGCCTGGAATGTTTGAATATTCCCCAGATAAAGGAGGGTACCTCAGCATAGTCCATGTCTTTATTGTGTTAATCAAGCAGGCCCAGCTTATTTTTTAACTTTACCTATATGCTGTTTTTCCTCTAGCCCAATCAAGTAATTTGCAACCTGGGCAACTAATTTAGCATGCAGGCCCAGCCCGAAACAACATAGTAAAAGGGAGGAAGGATTCCATCTTAAAGATAAGATTGTATTTTAATGCCCAGGAAGTTAAGTATGGATTCTTAATTTATTCTTTAGCAAACAGACAATAACTCAGCCACCTTGCAGGGCTGGACAGGCAATCTTAATTAATATGCTCCCTAACCAGGAAGCTGCTATCCTGGGAGGGAACCAGAGCAATAAATTTCTTACGCTTATTTTGCAGAATTACCCAGAAGACTGATAAGAAACTTAATGTTTCATTAAAGATAAACATCTTGAGACCACTTAACAAGGCTGTGCCCGTAGCCCCTTGTCACATTCCTGAAAAATGCTTAAAAGTGGGCACTCCCAACCTTTCAGGGCACTCCTCTCTCTGAGGTCCCTTGCACATTCTAAGTGCATTGACTTTCTCTCTTTGAATAAAACTTACACCTTTCTAGTCACCTCTCCTCCCTGAGGATGCCTGCTGCACCTTTTCTCTTTAAGTAACTTTAAATAAAAATCCTTTACTCTGCTTCACCACTGTGTCTCTGCCCTTCAATTCTTTGTTGCCGCTGGGACAAGAACCGAGGAAAATACACAATGCTCCCCCCAACAGTTAATGAGCCAGTATTGATACATTATTATTAACTAAAGTCCATACTTTATTCAGATTTTCTTCATTTTTGCCTAAAGTTCTTTTTCTGTTCCAGAGTCCCTTTCAGGGTACCACATTATATTTAATTGTTGTATTGTTACAGTAGGAGATAGGCAGAAGTGAGCAGGGAGGGGGTTGGGGACTTTGGTGTTTACATTCAGCTAGATGCTTGTTTATATTCTAAACAGTTTAGTGTAAACTGTTCTTGAGGGATGTAGGGAGTGAGGGTATAGATATCAGACCTGCCAAAACTGACTGGTTCCAACATGGAGGAGAAGTTGACCCTGGCTTCACCTCAGAATATGTTATATACTCATTAGCATACTAAAAATCACACCTGTTGGTGCCAGGACAGTCCTGAGGTAGACCATCTAAGGACGACAAGAGGGCGTCACCCTATTTCCCAGAAATCCCCTCCCTATTCCAAGAAATCCCCATCTATCCTGATGAATATCCACCCCTGCTTAAACTCGAGTTATAAGACCACCCAACCCGCCCACTGTGCTGCTCATCTCTGGAGCATGCCTGCACTCCGTCACTGAGTGTATACTTTGCTTTACTAAACTATTCTTTGCTTGTACCAGTTTGACCTGCTCATGAATTCTTTCTCAATTAGAGTCAAGAACCCTCTCTCGGGTTGAGGTCTCACCTAGTGTGCAGGGTGATCACCCCACATTGGATACCCAACAACAGTATCTCTGAGGCTCCTCTTAGCTGTGACAGTTTCTCAGACTCTCCTTGTTTTTGATGACCTTGACAAGTTTGAGGACTTCTCGTCAGATATTTTGTAGAATGTCCCTTTATTGTTTTCTTCCCCTTATGATTGGACTGAAGTTTTGGGTTTTGGGGAGGAAGACCACAGAGGTAACTTATCAATCACATCATATCAAGTTACTTCTAGTTATGTACTATCAAAATGACTTATCACTGTTGCTGTTGACCTTGATCACCTGTCTCAAGTAGTGTTTGTCATGTTTCTCTGTTGTCAAGTTATTATTTTCCTCCTTCCCATATTGTACTCTTTAGAAGGATGTCAGTATGCACAGCCCACATTTAAGGAGTGCAGAGTTAGGCTCCACCTCCTCAAAAAAAAAAAAGTATCTAATAAATTATTTGGAATTCTTCATGGGTGATCTGTATCCCCCATTTATTTATGTACTCAACTACTTTATTTCTATCAGTATGGACTCATGGATATTTATCTTATACTTTGGGTTATAAATCAGTGTATTTTATTTTGTTGCTCAAATTCTAGCTTTGGCCTTTGGGAACATTTTTACTTGGTTCCTGTGTTTCTTCCACATATCCCCATCTAAAAAAATTTTTTTTAATTAAAGAGATTTACTTACTTTCTGACAATACAAGATGCTCCAGGCTCACTTTGTATATTTTCTGCCCCAGTCCTAGAATTGGCCATTTCTCTGAGGAGCTCTAATGCCTTTTATTGAAGAATAATATTAGAAACTAAAATCTGGCCACTGGGCATGCTTGTTGCCATCAGGGTGTCATTGCTTCTAGACCCCCTCAGCTGGGAGAGCAAGTAAATATGTATATACTAACCCATGTATGTATACATAGCTATAGATACTTCTAAAACCATCTGTATCTATATTAAGCTAAACGAGTTCATACTGATGTCTCCAACTATTCCATTACTTCATGGATCATTCTAGCCTCCTCTCTATGCTCATCTGTAAATTCATTCTAACAAGAAAGCTGGTTCCTGCCATCTGTTAACCACTTACTTAATTGTTCAATTCTAGTATACATTTGCAGGAGTATCCACATTGTTAAACATAATCCCATGGGAAAATATCTTATTAATGAGGGAACGGTGCTCATGTGCAGTTCCTTTTGCCTTTAGTCTTAGGGTCTCCACTTATTTCCAAAGTTGTTTAGGTCAGTACCTTGTTAACCTTAAAAATAAAAGTTAATTGAGTAGCAAAAATGGGTTTATTTGGGAATAGCAGAGAATTGCAATCCAGGATACGCCAGGTACAGCAAAACCTTAGGCATGTCCAGACCATTCTAAGGGTTTTGACAAAAACGTTTAGTATTAGACAGTATCACCATCCTAAAAAATCCCCCATTTCACCTATTTAAACCTCAGGGA